CGGCGTTGATGGAGGACGACGGTTCGGTCGAGGCGGCCGAGGTGCAATTTCTGCGGATCGAGCGAGAGGACGACATCCCCCAGGACGAGGTTTCGGAGGGGAGCGAGGCGCCCGACGCGTTGGCAATTTGATCGAAGAATCTTGGGGCATGGGAGAAGTCTCGGACGGCGATCAAAAAAGTACGTTGGGCAGGAAGTTCGGCTACGGCAGCAAGAGCCCGCTGGGCGAGGTAAGGAAGCGCACGAAGTGTTTCAAGTGCTGGATTCTGGGACGCTTCTCAAGTCACTGCCCAGAGTCAAGACGGAACCCAGCACCGTCGGCATCATCCAGTACGTCATGGCCAGCCCGCTCGGTGCGGTTCTGTCCAGCCTTTTCGACGACGAATCACAGGATGCCGCGGGATGTGATTCAGGAGACATTGGAAGCTAGCCGTGGGAAGAATACGTCAGTGGCACCACCCGCCGAACAGATGGAGAAAGTCGAGATGTCGGTCAAGAGGATGCCAGAGATAGCGTCCAAGACAGTCAACTTCACCATCGACGAGGGCAGGGTCAGGGCTGTTTCGACAGCGGTTGTTCGAAGGGCAACGCGGGGAGGACGCTCCTGAGGTGCGCGAGCAGCTGTGGATCGATTCAGGTGGACGCGAGGAGGACTTCAGGTATGGGGCGGATAGGACGGCCACGGTGTTCAGGCGCGGCTTTAACGACGCTGTGAAGTCCGACTGGATGGCGAGGAGACCGCAGTGGATTGTCCACGTGCGCACGGGCGCGCGCGTGCATTGCGCGCGCATGGCCCCGCTGCTGCCGTCGAGGCGGTGGGCGAGGGGCCCCGGCGGCCACCTGGACTTCGAGGAGACGCGGGCGAGTTCGCGGCGATCGGGCACAAGGCCCAGCTGACGACAAGATTGCGAGGGGGACGGACACTACGCGTTGGAGATGTGCACGCCCCTGCCGCGCGCCAGCGTCAAGAGAGCGTTCGACTGGAAGACGGAGGATATGGGGGCCTACGTCAAGCGGAGCAGGAGATGCACCTTACTGGGGAGAAGGCTGGGCGGCCCGAGTGGTGGGGACCTCGGATAGTCGCCGCCAGACGGTTCGAAGGCTCGGGGCCGGGCGTCGTCGTCAGCGACGCCGGACAACGCGGATGGTCGGAGCCCGCAGTGACGTTGGATGACGACCTGCCCGAGGTGAAGCTTGCGGTGCTGAGCAAGAAGCAGCCTGGGGGCCATGGCGGCTGGAGCTCGAGTGGAGACCCGGAGTGGCAATGAGATCCTGGAGCTGCTCTGGGCAATGAGAGCGACGCGGGCAGAGGCAGAGCTGCGAGCCCCGGCGCCTCTGACCTGAAGACGGGCTAGCACCCTGATCGGTTCAGCGCGAGGACGGAGGTCGAGAGGATAGGAGAGAGATAGAGAGAGAGGGAGAGAGAGAGAGAGAGAGAGAGAGAGAGAGAGAGAGAGAGAGAGAGAGAGAGAGAGAGAGAGAGAGAGGGGAGAGAGAGAGAGAGAGAGAGAGAGAGAGAGAGAGAGAGAGAGAGAGAGAGAGAGAGAGAGAGAGAGAGAAAAAAAAAAAGGAGAGAGAGAGAGAGAGAGAGAGAGAGAGAGAGAGAGAGAGAGAGAGAGAGACAAAAAAAAAAAGAGAGAGGGGAATAATAAGCATCATAATAATAACAGTAAGAAGGGAGCCAAACACAAGCAAAAGCATGGCTGGTCACACCGGCACCTCCACGCGCGATGCCGCCCAACCGTCAGGACCCGAACCCGGCCCCCAAGTACTTGCTTGGGCGAGCGGGCCGAGCTGCGCACGGAGGCGAGCGGCCATGTCGCGCGATGTTTCAAGCTGGCCAAGAGGCAGATGGAGCTCGGGTGCACATTGATCTTCGCGGCCCCGCGGGGGGGGGGGGCTTCTGGGCGCCCGTTGAGATGAAGGCGTTCTTTGCGGGGGGAGGCGCCCAGGTGCATGCTTGGATTGGAGGAGATGGTCGCGGGTGAGCTGTTCTCCTGACGAATGACGCGGCGCTCGCGGAGACGGTTGAGGCGTCGCGCAGAGGAGGCCGCGCGCGCGCCCATGCCCTCGGCGCGATGAGGAACGGAGCGAGGTGGCGCAAGTTCACGGACGCGCGCCCGACCCCGTTGCCGGCGCGCATTTTGCAGGGGGCGTTGGCGGCATGGGGCGCGCGCGAGACGGCGGAGGTGCCATTGGCGGCTGCTGAGGGCGATGTCAAGGGGGCAGCGATGAGGGCGCGCGAGAACTTCGGCAATCCAGGGGCGAGCGCGCTCGCCGGGGACTCGCGCACCAGCGGCGCGCGCGACGAAGCGCTCGGGCCGGCTAGGGAGCCGGCGCGGCGCGCAACGCGCGCAAGCAGCAGGCGCGCCCTCGCGGCTCGAAGCCAGCGGCGCCGAGCAAGGGCCTTTCCCCGCTGCGCGCGGCGTCGCTTGATGTCAAGCATCTGCCGGGATGGGTCGGCGGCCTAGTGGCGGTGAAGGGCCTTGGCCGGCCGACGCTGGGTCGGCGCGTCAGAGGGTGGAACCCGCCTCCGAGCGGCAGTCGTCGCAGGCGTCGAGGGCGCCGCGTCGCAAGACGGGGGCGCAGCGCCACTGCGACCCGCGGATCGCGACGAAGGGGGGCCTTCCCGAGGCGGCGGCGGCGACGTGGGGGGCAAGAACCGGCTGACTCGGAGGTCGGGCCACCCCGCCCCAGGGTCTTCGGTCGGGGCCCCCCGCTCCGGAGGAGCCGTGGGCCGAAGGCAGCCCGGAGATCGGCGGCGAGCAGCCGCGAGACAGGGATATCGGATGGCGACAGTGGGGCCGCGGCGCTGGATGCCGGGTCGCAAGCGCGCCAGGCGTTCGGGGCGGGGCGCAACGCGGCGTTTTGGAGTCGGGCCAAGGGCAATACATAGGAGGCTGCCAAGGCGAGATGGAGAAACTGGCGCGCGTCAAAGGGCGACTGCGGGACAATTGAATCGTCGCGTTCGGCGGCCAGTGGGCGCTGGCGGCCCCGCGGCAGCTGCGGGCAGGATCGAGGGGGGAGATCGTCGCCCGGTGCCCAGGGGGAGATCCCTCGTCACAGGGCCCGATCGCGACAGCGCCCGGCAGGGCGAGGCAACCAGGATGCGCGGACATCATGGAAGGGGGGGGGCCCGCCAGGGGCGGAGTCTTTCTACGACGCGGGCGTGGATATGCCAGAGGGGGCAGTGGAAAGCCCCGCTTCGACAAATGGAAATCAACGGAAGGACGCAGAGGGAGCTCGTGGATACGCGAAGTCGGAGGTCGACCGACGGGGGGGAGGGAGGCGTCGGAGAGGAGCTCGAGAAGGCCGAGCGCGCTCGCGATCGCCCACATCCAGGGCGAGGTCGCCGATAGCAGCTGACAGAGTCGGCGGCCGCCGGCGGCCGAAGCCATGGGGGGCGCGGCCGCAGAGGGCCCAGAGGTGCATGCGACAGACCGCGTGGACTACGATCGACGGCGACCAACTGGAGAAGAGGCAGTCCACGGTGGCGCTGTTCTTGATTCCGGATGAGATTCAGACGCAGAAGCACGCGCTGATGGCCATCTCTCGGCTCGAGGAGGAAAGGTGAGGATCGGCGAGGCCAAGGCTGTCTAGCGGGGGGCCATTCATCAGGAGAGGCGCGCGGTCGCGGTGCTGAGCCTGGAAGAGTCGAAGCAGGTTCGGTCGACGCGCCCAGACCGCATCCTGAAGCCCCGGCGCGTTGTGGTCGAGATGGCGGGAGGAGTGGCCAAGGCGAGGCCGACGGTCACAGGTGGCGTGGAGGCGCCAACGGTGAGTCAGACACCGAGGGCCGCGGCGCCGCAGCTGATCGCAAGCCGCCAGTGGAGGGTCCAGATCGGCGACGTCAAGGGGGCCTTCCTGGAGAGCGACAGGCTGGATCGACCTGGTGGACCTCTGCGCATGTCTCAGCCGCCAAGCGGAGTACCCGAGGTGCCAGAGGACGCTGGTCCGCGTGGACCTCCGGCTGCGAGGGCTAGACAGCAACGCGCCGAAGCGATGGTTCAGGAATGTCGCGTCGGTGGCCGAGGAGGCGGGGCTGGCCCAGTCCTGGCTGGACCCGCATGTGCTTCTGCCTCGGCGAGTGTGGCAAGTTGAAGCATATCCTGGTCATCCATGCGGGTTGCGTCATCACTGGCGACGACGGCGACGAGTTCGAGGCGATCGTGAAGCACCTGGGGCAGAGCCTGCCGTTCAGAAAGTGGAAGATCGGGATGGGCGTCTGCGGCTCCGAGGTGAAGCAGGGCGACGACTTCAGCATCGAGGTGTCGCAATCGCAGCTCGCTCAGGGCATGGCAATGCTGAAATTGGACCGGACGGCCCCCGATTAGCGCGAGCTGGGTCCAGATGAGACCCCAGCGGATCGGAAGGCGCCGTTCGAGGGCAAGTGGCTCCAGTCCCAGACGCGCCTGGGCCTGGCTGCGCAGGTGGGCGTGGCCCAGCAGCAAGCAGATAGGCAGTCTAAACGTGGCGACCCCAAAACAGATCAATCAGATGATCCGTCGTTCCCGCGAGTTTGCAATGCCAGTAAGGAAAGGACTCAGGCCGGTTGCGTCATCGCAGCAGTGGATGCGAACGCGCTCGAGAATCGGGCTAGTTTGGTCTCCCATGGTGTGGCCCTCGCGCCGGCCGACGAGAGTTGAAACTGCTACGTCGGCAGGAGAGGTTCATATGTTGGCAGACGGTCTCGAGCACCATGAGTGGATGATGAGTATGATGCAGGAGGCGTTGGGTTCTGAGTTCGACCCTGCCCGAAGGAACGAGTCATTTGCGCGACGAGAATCGGCGTGTGTCATCGAATGCACATCATCGTACGATGATATTATTGGTTCTGGGTTTCCGGAGGAAAATCAGAGGACAGCGACCGGCGCCACGATTGTCCGCGAATCCTTAGCACGACTGTCAGCTACAATTCGCTGGGCTAGGCATCATGCCAGTTAGCCGATGGCCAAACGAAGGGCGAGGCGAGGCCGATCGACATGCTGCGAGCGACGGCGCGGGGAGGGCAGTGCCAGCTTTCGGACGAGGCGATTCACTGGCGACGAGCGGCCGAAGAAAAATAACAACGGCACGAGCGAGGAACATCAGCCCAGCAAGTTGTTGGGCTGACCTTCCTCGCTCCTGCTGGACTAATCAGCTACCGAGTCCGACTGTGGCTTTCTTCCAGCAGACACACTCGGACTCAGTAGCGGAGTTGGCCCAAGATCTGAAAGGACAGTGACGGTCGCGTGCCGCCACCCGCCTCCATCGCAACGAAGTTTGTGGCTCACCGGATTGAGGCGTCGGTGAGGTGCCTGGTCGAAACGCTGGCGGAGGAGGGCACGGTGATCACGCAGCAAGCGTTCGTCGAGGCCGAGAGGAGGTGCGGCGTGCTGGCCGGACCCACGGCGCGCGGGCTCGCCACGGCGACTGGCACACTGCCTGGGCACGGGCAACATCCAGGTGCAGGAGCCGGCGGCGAGTGCAGATACCGCCATGGAGAGCCTGGCCCTGATCGAGGGCGCGCGCGCGCCCATCAAGTGTTTCACGAGCGGCCTGGCCTCCCGCGGTCGCGCCGCGCACGGATTATTTGCTCGGCATGCTCCCCGGGGAGCCTCTGGGCAGCCTCATCAAGCAGGAGGGGTCGGAGACCTCATCCGTGTCGGGCGCCGAGGATTACAAGGTGTGCGAGGCGATACCTCCAGATCCCCGAGCATCACAGGGCCATCAAGACCACGGTGACACGCGCGGATGAGTTAGCGAGTTTTCCGGCCTGGCGCTGGAAGTTCGCGAGGGTGATGATCAAGCCGCGCGGACGGGCGTCGAGCACTACCAGGACGATGGTTTGGAGTCGATTCGTGAGGAGGATGAGGAGATGGCCAGAGTCAATTCTGAGGCGGGCGTCAAGGGCGCTCCGAAGTGGGGCAAGAGGAAGCGATTGAGGCATTTATCTCGAGCCGGGTGTGAGCGAGTGGCAGAGGCGAAAAGACTGCCCGCCCAGATGCCGCTTCTGTTGCGCCGTGAGTGCCGAAGCTGTGTTGAACGTCCTCGCGGGGCCCGCGGGGAGACCAGATATCTCGACTCGACGACTGACGCCGCGGCCAGCGATCAGCACCCCCTCTTTCTTGGACCCCTCCTCCGCCTCCACAGACCCCCGACGTAATGAATTTTTCATTACGTCGACCCCAGAGTTCTCGACCCCTTCCCCAGGACCGGTTTGTCATTCTGAGTCGTTTTTTGACGCTCCCGAGGCCCGGTGAGGGCCCCCGGAGACCGAAAATTAGGAAAAACCTCCCGTCATGATTGTTTCATTACTCGAGGGGGTCTGGGTCTAGGGCAAAGACGGGGAGGGGGGCCCTGGGCACCTTTTGCAGCGGCCCCCCCGCGTGGCCGAGGCCAGGCCCTACTTCGACGCGGAGGAGGAGGAGCCGGAGGCCGTCGGGGCGCCGGCGCCACAGCGGGAGGATGGGGAGGAGAAGGGAAACGGGCGGGAGCAGGAGCAGCGGGGCGAGGAGGAAGGTGGAGGAGGAGGAGGAGGAGGAGGAGGAGGAGGAGGAGGAGGAGGAGGAGGAGGAGGAGGACGACCAGTGTAAGCCCAAGACCCATCAGCGATGTTGAAGTACACCCTCCCTCTCCGACTTCCCTTCTCGCATGCCCCTGCAGGGGTTCATTTTCAGTGAGGGAAGTGCCTTTTTCGAGGACAGCCGTTTGAAAATCTGGAGTTGTGGCAGAACGCCATTCCTGGGACGTGAACACCGCGAATGCCCAGTACTGTTGCGTCTTGACGATCCTGAATCGTGCCCTAGCCCCGCCTTTTCTGGATCCCAACACCACGACGCAACGAAACCGCTGCGCCCTGACATTTCGACATCGTACCAGAGCACCATGCCTGGGACGTTAACCACGAGAATACTTAAAGTTGCTGTGAACGTTTGAGAGCGAGTGTGCGCGGTGCTCAAGCGAGAGCCGCACGTCGAGGAGGAGCCGCTCTCCGCCCGCGAAGTTCTTGCAATCTGTGAAACGAGTGTACACAGCGCCAAGGCGAGAGCCACATGTTGAACACAACCTAGCGTTCATCCGTGAAGCTCTGGCAACTGTTGAAGACGAATGTGCGCGGCGCTAAGGCGAGAGCCACATTTTGAAAAAGGGCCGCCCTCCACCCGTGAAGCTCTGGCATGATTTGAGGGCGAATGTGCGCGGCGCTACGGCGGCAGCCACATTTTGAAAACGACCCGCCCTCCATTCGTCAAACTTTTACAGCTAGGTTTCAGCGACATAATTGGTGAGGAGATCTCAGGCGAAAGGCCCTGCCCGCCCGTTCGACTGGCCTCGGGGTGCGACAGGGAGGAGCTATTCTTTAGGATAAGAAATGTAGGAGGACGAGGGGGAAACGAGGAGGAGGACGAGGATGAGGCTGAGGATGAGAATGAGGATGAGGATGAGGATGACGATGATGATGGTGATGATGATGATGATGGTGGTGGTGGTGATGATGATGATGCTGCTGATGATGATGCTGATGCTGCTGATGATGATGCTGATGCTGATGCTGATGCTGATGATTATGATGATTATGATGATGATGATGATGATGATGATGATGATGATGCTGATGCTGATGCTGATGATGATAATGATGATGATGATGATGATGATGATGATGATGCTGATGATGATGATGCTGATGCTGATGCTGATGCTGATGACGATGGTGGTGGTGGTGATGATGATGATGATCATGATGATGATGAGGAGGAGGAGGACGAGGACGAGGACGAGGAGGAGGAGGACAAGCTCGGTGTGCTCGCGATACATTTGACATTTTCTTTCTCCCATCCATCCCTGCCCATTTGTCTGTGATATTTCAACTATCCATTGACGGTTGGCGTAGCGGACCTGGAACCCACATGAGGAGGACAAACTAGGTGCGCTCGCGCCACATTCGACACCATGACCCTCCCCCCCCGTCCTTTCCCAGTTCGCTGATATGTTGTTTACGCCGGTGGAATGTCCTACAAGACATTGTGCCAAGACGGTTGTCGCGTGATGTGGCACATCGGTTGCTGCGTCATCGGGAAACGGGGGGCTCGTGTACATAGTAGGAAGCGCTGAAGGCGGCGGAGTATGGAGGGGAGGAGGAGGCAGAGGAGGAGATAGAGGAGGAGGCAGAGGAGGAGGAGGGGGAAAGGATGGAGGCAGCAGGAGCAGGAGCAGGAGCAGGAGGAGCAGGAGCAGGAGGAGCAGGAGCAGGAGGAGGCGCCGGCTGGACGAGGAGGCGGAGCACGAGGCCGAGAAACCAGGAGGAGCCGAGAGGCCAGCGGCGCGCACGCGCCGGCGAACCACTACTTCGGGGCGCCCGCCGCGCGGGCCGAGGACGACGCCTCGGCCGAGGCGGGGGCGCCGAGGGGTCGCCGCCTCGGCCGGGGCGGCGCACGCCCCTCCGGGGAGGAGGAGGGGCGGGGAGGAGGTGGGGGGGACGTGAGGAGGAGGAGGAGGAGGAGGAGGAGGAGAGGAGGAGGAGGAGGAGGAGGAGGGGAAAAGAGGGGAGGTGGAGGCGGAGGAGGAGGAGGAGGAGGAGGAGGAGGAGGAGGAGAGGAGGAGGAGGGGAGGAGAGGAGGAGGAGAGGAGAGACGAGAGGAGGGCGAGGAGGTGGAGGCGAGGAGGTGGAGGAGGAGCAGGAGAAGGAGGAGGAGGAGGAGGAGAAGGAGGAGAGACGAGGAGGAGGGGCGAGGAGGTGGAGGCGGAGGAGGTGGAGGAGGGGGGGAGGAGGAGGAGGAGGAGGAGGAGGAGGAGGAGGAGGAGGAGGAGGGGAGGAGGAGGAGGAGGGAGGGACGAGGAGGAATGAAGAGGCGCAGAAGGAGGGGTCTTCCCTCCCTGCCTTTGACCCTCCTGCTCGGTCGTCCTCCGCGCGGTTCTGCATGTGCTCCTTATTGGCTCCCTTTTGCCTGTGTGGTCGGGCGGATGAGGTGGGATTCGGGAGGCAAAACGTGATGAATAAGATGGTGATGAGGAAGAATGTGAATCAGCAGGGGAAAAACACACAGAAACAAATAGTCGTCGAGTCCCAGGAAAAGATAGGGAAAGATGGGAAGTGGGGGGAAGACGAACATCCAGAACATCTGGAAATATATGGGGAACTCAGAGAGTTGTGTCTATGTATTTGTGCGTCCCTGGGCCCCTGCAAATGAGAGGAAGTGGGTGGTTTCGCAGAACAGCACAGCAACTACCATCCTGGACCAGCTGGGCCTTCCTCCTGCTTCCGTCGTTTCGCCTGATCGTGTTTCTGTTGCTGCTGGTGCTGCTCCTTATCGTGCCTCTGACTCCTGCTGCGCATCCTCCTGACCTCTCCTCCTCCTGCTTCCTCCTCCTCTTCCTCCTCCTCCCTCCCCTTCCGCGTCCACTTCCTGCTGCTTCTCCCTGCTCACTCCTCTCCGTCCCTGTGCTCCTGCTGCTGCTGATGCTTGCCTTCCTCCTCCTCCTCCTCCTCCTCCTCCTCCTCCTCCTCCTCCTCCTCCGTATCCTCTGTACCTCGCTCGCCTCCCCGTGGCCCCCTCGCCAGCCCTCTGTCTCGGATGGCCCCGATCTGCCGATCACGGCGCGATGCGGTCGCCGATCGGGACCAGGAGGCAGGCGGGAGCGGAGGAAGAGGAGAAAGGAGGAGGAGGAGGAGGAGGAGGAGGAGGAATACGAAGAGGAGGAGGAGGAGGAGGACCAGTGCAAACCCAATACGCATCGACGATGCTGCAGTAAACCCTCCTTCCAAATTCCCGCTTCCTGGGCCTCGACTAGAAGTTGCTATCATTGTTGGAAGTGCCCCCCGTTAACAGGCAAACGTCTGCGAGCCATCAAGCGTGCCAAAAAACAGTTTTGGGGATACCAACGCCGCGAATCAACGCGACTGTTGTGTTCAGAAAGTTGCAACGCGGGCCAAGACGCAACTGTCGGGACTTTACGACCGCGAATCAGCGTGATTGCTGCTCCCTGGCAGTCCATAGTCGTGCCAGAGCACGGTTCCTGAGTTTTCAACAGCGCGAATCCACGTAACCTCTCCGCCCTGGCAATCCGAACCTGCTGCGCAGCTTTAGAGAACGAATGCTCGCGGCGCTAATGCGAGAGAAGCAGTTTGAAAATGAATTGCCTTCCGTCCTTGAAATTGCCGTCAGCTTTAGAGACGATTATGTGTGGCGTGAAGGCCGGAACCACATGTTGTAAAGGAACCGCTTTCCATCCGTGAAATTGCTGTAAGCTTTTAAAACGAATGTGCAAGACGTGGAGGTGGGAAACACATCTTGAAATGGATCTGCCTGCCCTCCATCCTTGACACTTTTGCAAATGTCGAACGCGAGGAGCATAAGTATGGAGGAAGTCTCAGGCGAAACACCCGGCCCGCCCACATCGACACGTCTGGGGATGCGACAGGGAGAAGTTGTTCACCATGAGCGGGGATGAAGGAGGAGGAGAAGAGGCGAGGAGGAGGGATGAGGATGAGGATGGTGATGATGATGATGATGATGCTGATGCTGATGCTGATGCTGATGCTGATGCTGATGATGCTGATGATGATGATGATGATGATGCTGATGATGATGATGATGATGCTGATGATGATGGTACCGATGCTGATGCTGATGCTGATGCTGATGCTGATGCTGATGCTGATTCTGACTATGGTTATGCTAATTATTATGATGATGAGGATGAGGATGAGGAGGAGGAGGAGGAGGAGGAGGAGGAGGAGGAGGGTAACAGAGGAGGAGGGGAGGAGGAGGAGGAGGAGGAGGAGGAGGAGGAGGAGGAGGAGGAATGGAAGAGGAGGAGGAGGAGGAGAACGAGGGATGAGGAGGAGGAACATAAGGATCAAGAGCAGGGGAGACAGGCGAGGGAGGAGATGGACCAGGACCCCGCCGAGGATCGGCCTGGGTCCCGGCAGCGCCTCCGAGGCCACTACTTCCAAGAGCCGGCGCCGCTGGCCCGCGGAGGCGGCGCCGAGGCGCGCGCCAGCGGCGGCCGAAGTCCGTACGTCGGCGAGGCCGACGGCGGGGTTCTGTCCGAGGATCGGCGGCAGGGGCCCCGTGGGACGAGGTGCCGGCGAGGGCGCAGCCCTCTCGGGGAGCCGTTGGTGCTGCCCGTTCTCCTTGGCCTCCTCTGCCACTTCCATCTCCACCACCAGCTGCTGCTGCTGCTGCTCTCCCTCCACCTCCTCCTCCTCCTCCTCCTCCTCCTCCTCCTCTTCTGGCCCGCCGCTTCCCATCCTCCTTCAGTCCTCCTCCTCCTCCTCCTCCAGCTTTTCCTCCTCCTCCAGCTTTTCCTCCTCCTCCTCCTCCTCCTCCTCCTCCTCCTCCTCCTCCTCCTCCTCCCCTAGTCCTCCTCCTCCTCCTCCTCATCCTTCTTCTCCAGTGCTCCAGTCCTGCTCCTCCTTTTCCTCCTCCTTTTCCTCCTCCTCCTCCTTGTCCTCCTCCTCTAGTCCTGCTTCAACTCGTCCTTCTTCTTCAGTCCCCCTCTACCTCCTCCCTCCCTGGTTCTCCTCCTCGTCCTCCATGGCCGTTTTGGTTCAAGATGCCAGGACATCGTGGTCAGGTGGCGCCAGCGTGGCCGCGGGCCGCGAGCTGCCTTCGTCTGTGCATGCGTGCGCGCGCATGGGGTTGCTTTTCAACGGTGGCGTCCGCATTGCACGTTGGCCACGCGCGCGCCTGTCCAAAACCCATACATGTGCCTGCGCTGTCCACCACCCATGTGCGCCACCGCGTGAAGCGGTTGCTGCAAGCGGTCGCACGCGTTAAGTTTTTTGTTTGTCCAGGCTATGTCTGCCTCGGACGCGCGCGTGTCATTGCGCTACTTGCACTTGCACGACGCTTTGTCGTGCCTGTCGCAAGCCTTTTGGCGTCGCTTGTCGCGCTGCTGCGGGTTTCGCGTCGCCGCCTAGCTGGCTGCTCTGGCAGCCTTACAGTTCTTCCCCGCCTCAGTTGCTAATTCGCACCAAACTGCTGCTCGCGCTTCAACTCCAGGCGTCGAGCCACGCTTCGCGGGGTAATTGGCCGCTGCACTTGGGCCTTAAAGTGCCTCATGTTTCCCACCACTGGTCTGCATGGCCGTTGCTGAATTCTTTCATCATGGCGCGTTCGACTGAGTTCGTTCGCAATTGGCACCTCCACCTGCCGACCCCGCCTGAGGCTCCTCTGCGCCGCCGACTTGCAAGCGTGCGCGCACGGATGGTTCTGGCTGCTGGCTGCTGCGTAACCCTAAGCGGTCCGTGAGGCCTCGGACACTCGGACACGCGCGCACTTTTCCGTGTTCGGGCCTTCTCCGCCTCGCCGCGGCGCGCGAGGCCGTGACGCCGAAGAGCGTGCGTGGGCGCGCAGCGGAAATCAACCTCGACATGCCCGCGGGGCTCCCGGTGGCAGTCGGCGGGCGTTGGCGTCTTCCGTTCGACCGCCGGCGCCGGCTGCTCTGAAAGCACTCCCCCGCGGCCATGCAGGGAGGCGTTGGCGAGGTGCCGCGGCGAGCAGGCGCCTGCCGCCCCCCACGGGCCACGGAGGTGTGTGCTGCAGTCGGGCCGACGTGTAAGAGCGAGGTCGGTTCGGGGAGGGTGCCCTCGTGTTCTGCGTGGCTGTTGGGTGTTCTTGTGCATCCTGGGGAGGGTACCCTTGGATGTTCTGCTTGTTTTGGCCGACGGAGGGTCTCATGTTCTTGAAGGATGCTCTTATGGCCTAGGTTCGGTTGTACGAATACCCTCGCATCGTTTTCCCCTGGGCCTCCTGGGAGGTCCTCGACGTCACCGCTGGATTCGCCTCGAAATCCTGGTCAGAACGCACCCCGGGAGAGTTCTGGGGAGTAGCGGTATCCGTACCTTCTGGCTTCCCCATGGCAGGCCGCGGAACTGAGCTACGCCAGCCATCCCACAATGCAGGCGTTCTTCTCGGCGTGATCGTCGGCGGCGTCCTAACTCCATCATCGTCCACTGTCCATCGTCACCGTTGCAGGGTAAGCCAGCCGTCCAACATACCTTCATCCCCTTGCTGTTGCATCCTCTCGCCGCCGTTTCATCATGACTCTCCTTCTCGCGGCCCGTCCAGCTGTCGCGGCGGTAACTTCCGAAGCGATCAGCGTCAAACGAGCGAGCTCGTAAAAATTTGCACAGTGTGCTGAGACAATGTTTGACGAGATCCTGCGAGAGTGTGTTTTCCTTTGGATTCGGGTCCCTCCAGAATTATTGGAGAGCAGCAGTCTGGTCGCTACGCCAATCCGCTGGGCCTCGGGCGCGGCAAGCGCCACCCCGATCCAGAATGTCAGCTGCGGGGCTCGAGGGGGCTCTGAAGGCCAGCGGCCAAGATAGAAACACACGCGACATTCCTACCTTCCAGTGCCACGTGGAATGGCCCGAAATCCACGATACGAAACCTGGTCGATTCGTCTCTGCATGGTCGTCGGCGGAACCCTCACTCGTGGCCCGCGGCGTCCCGCACCTGCCGACCAGGCTCGCTCGGGAGCGTCCACGGGCACGTCGGCTCTGGCGCGCTCGTTGTCTGCCTCTCTGGAGTGCTGCAGGGCCTGCAGGGCGGGACCTGGGCACCGTTGCGGCCATGAACGCGGACGACCTACGCAAGATTCGGGCATTCAGAAAATACCCACCCAGGCAAGTCCACTGAGGAAATCTGCACCGGTTCACTCGACACTGGCATTCCAGTGTGTTGCCGCAGTCCCCAGCCGGTTTCGCCAAACGACGTGTGTTTTGCCAGGTGCATTCGTTTGCTTCTGGACGCCGGTTTGATGTCCCGCCTGGGTCTGCTCGGAATGCGGCGCTGTGCGCACGAAGAGTGCCACCCGAAGCGTTTAATTACTAAAGGGCATGTTGTTCAAGTGCGTTTCGAATGATCTAAGATCGGAGCTACGTGGTCTTCACCAGCACGCAGCGCAAACCCTGCGGGGTGGTGAAGCTCGCAGGGTACAAGCACTATGCACGGCCGTGCAACGCTTCTGTTCGGGAAAGCTTGACTGCAGATGGCGCAACCGCTCTCCAGTCGGCAAGCATACGTGGTGCTTCTCGTTGCCTCTCTGGCGAATCGGGGGCACCGCGCTCCATGACGGTACGCGGGCACTGTATGGAGTGTGAGAACCGCCGTCTTGATTGTATGTTTCCTCCTCCGCCTCCTGTGATGGGCAGTGGCGCGAACGTCTCCGCTCTTCGGGGGCTTTCACAAACCTAGCTTAACGTACCCTTCACTTCTCTTCCTCCTCCTCCTCCTCGTTCTCCTCCTCCTCCTCCTCCTCCTCCTCCTCCTCCTCCTCTGCCTGCTTTGGCACCTTCCTCCTCCTCCTCCTCCTCCTCCTCCTCCTCCTCCTCCTCGTCCTCCTCCTCTGCCTGCTTTGGCACCTTTGTTCCTCGTCCTCCTCCTCCTCCTCCTCCTCCTCCTCCTCGGCCCCTTCGTCCTCCTCTTCCCGCCCTGGCAGTTGCTGTGGGCGGGCGCCTGCGCGAGATGGCCATCAAGCGGCCGCAGCCCACCCCACTTGACCCCGTGCTCATTCCAGCCACTCGTCGGACCCGCCTCGTCGTCGTCGTCGGCGGCGGTGGCGGCGACGGCGGCGGCGGCGTCGGCGTCGGCGTCGACGTCGGAGTCGGCGTCGTCGTCGTCGTCTCCTTCTTCGCTCCCATAACCCATCGTCCTCCGCCCTCTTTTCCTCCTCCTCCACCCCTGGGCATGCGGGAGGTATTGCGCAAGCGCCCCTGGTCGTTGCCCAACACGGCTGCGAGCCTGGAGGGGAAGGCAGAGGGGGCGGACCTTCTCAGAAGGCTCGGAAGGGCCTCCTCTGCCTTCTGAGAAGCTTCCTGAGCCTTCCCCGAGGACACAAAAAGCTTCTCAGCAGGCCGGAGGGCTTCTGGGAAGCCCCGCCGCTTTCTGAGAAGGCCTTCTTCTCACTTTCTCCCCTCGCCCGCCGTCTTCGGCCTCAAGAATGCCTAAGACTGCTCAAGAGGCCCCCCAGCTCGCTCCAAGACTGCCCAAGAAGCCCTCGAGATGGCCAATCAGACGGCTCAGGAGAGCCCCAAGACGGCCCAAGAGTCACCAAAGATAACCCAGGAGGGCCCCAACATGGCCCCAAGAGGGTCGGGGATGGACAGAACCCCCAACAGTGACACGTCGATTAGTGAATTGTCCGTGTTCGGTTCTCGAGAGGGAGCCGTGGCCGTTATTTTCCAGACTTGCGCCCGCCAGGTTTGGGCCTCAGGTCGTTTTCACTAAACCACATTTTGATGAAGGGGGGTCTGTCCATCCCCGAGAGGGGCCCAAACAGACCCCCGAGACCGCCAACCAACCCCTCGCACGTCTTCATGAAAGCGGGCGGGCCGGAGTGTGCTGTCGAGGCCGTCGTGGAGTCAGCCGCGCGGTAGCGGAGTGAGCTGCCCGAGGCGAGGCGGTGGTGAGGAGCCCCATGCAGGTCAGGGCGTGCCCGCAGGAGCAGAGGTCAACACGTCCTCCTCCTGCTCTTCCTCCTGCCCTTCCTCCTCGCCCTCCCCTCCGTCCCCTCCCTCCGTTCCCTCCCCTCCCCTCCCTCCTCCTCCCATCCCCTCCCTCCCTCCCTCCCTCCCCTCCCTTTCTCCTCCCCTTCCCTCCCTCTCCTCCCCTCCCTTCCCTCCACAATGACACAATATGAATGGTACTTTCCTCTCTCCCTTGACTCTGTCCGGAGAGTCTCCCGTCCTCTCCGCGCATTTCTTGTTTCAGGTTCTCCTAAACGGGTGCTCCCGCTGCAGCGCCGCCCTCATTTCCGCGCTTCGGTGATTCAACATCGTGCTCCCGCTGCAGCGCTGGCCTCGTTCCCGCTGGTCTCCCTGGGCTCCCGGTGCTCTGGGGAGCCCAGGGAGACGTGGATGTGGGTCTGGGGAACGCGAGGCAGCGTGTCGAAAGGAGTGGGGGGCTTCCAAAATTACAGCAACCCTATCGGACGGCACTTGGCATCCGAGAGCGCCCACATCGGGCAGGCACGGCTGCGGAGGACATAGAGCTGGCATTCCGGACAGGCCTTGTCCTCTCGTCGTAGACGGGCCACTTACCCTCCAAGCCATCCGGTGCCATGCCACGGCATGCAATATGATGCTGTGTTGCTCACCGCTGTGCGATGCCATGCTTTGCGTTGCTATATTTTGTGATGCGATGCTTCACTGCTCAATGCCACGCCATGCCGTGCTCTTCTACGATATGATGTTCCATCCATCGCGTACCCTCTTGGGACCATTGGCCTGCTCGACGTCCGACTGTGCGATTGATAGGAGGTCTACGCCATTGTAAGGGATGGGAGGGAGGGGTAGGACGTCCGATGTGACGCTAGCGCACCTCGCTTGTTCCTCTCCCCTTCCCTCCCTCCCCTCCCCTTCCCTCCCTCCCTTCCCCTCCCCTCCCTCCCTTCCCTCCCCTGTCCTTCCCTCCCCTCCCCGTCCCTCCCCTCCTCTCCCTGCCCCTCCCCTCCCCCTCCCCTCCCTTCCTTCCCTTCCCTTCCCCTCCCTCCCCTCCCCTCTCCTCCCCTCCCCTCCCTCCTCTTCTCCAGTCTCGAGGAGGCCGGCCTCCCCCAGGTGCGTGCCGTGCGAAAGGTTGGGAGGAGTCGGCCTCGGAGGCGGGCAAGGCAGACAAAACAGCGTTGTCGGACTCCGAGACAGGCGAGGGCTAACGACGCCCTGACTGGCTTTTGGGCGCTGCCCTACCTCACCTTGCTTTGCCTTCCCCCTCTCTCCCGTTCCAAACCACGCGGGCCTCAGACGGCACTTCCTCCCTTCTTCCTTCCTTCCTTCCTTCCTTCCTTCCTTCCTTCCTTCCTTCCTTCCTTCCTTCCTTCCTTCCTTTTCCTTCCCCTTCCACGCCACCCATGCACCGCATTTCGTCCCCGAGGAGGTGCTCCAGAGGTTCCAGCCCTTCTTCGACGCAGTGGAGGTCGTGACGCCCGCCCAGCGGTGCAGCGCGGCCGCATTCCTGGACGAGCACGGGGCCACCGCACCGGAGGACCGCGGGAGGAGCAGGAGATAGGATGGGGAGGGCCAGGAGAGAGGAGAAGGAGGAGGACGAGTAGCTGCAGCAGCAGCAGCAGGAGGAGCAGGAACACGAGGAAGAGGAGCAGAGGGAGCAGCAGCAGGAGAAGCGGGAAAGACCAGAAGCAGGTTCAGGAGGAGGAGGAGGAGGAGGAGGAGGAGGAGGAGGAGGAGAAGAAAGAGGAAGAGGAGGAGGACGACGAGCAGGCAGCAGCAGCAGGAAGAGCAGGAGCCGCGGCACGCGGAGGGGAAGCAGCGGGGGAGGAGCCCGAGGAATCGGCCCCCGTCGGAGGACCTCGTGCTGTGCGGCCTTGCCGAAGCCTTCACAGCCGCGCTGGAGCTGAAGCCGGTGCCCCGCGCCAAGGCCGCCAGGCTCGCGGTCGAGGGGCGGCAGGGAGGGCGCCCCCCTCCTCCTTCTCCTCCTCCTCCTCCTCCTCCGTCTTCTCCTCCTCCTCCTCTTCCTCCTCCTCCTCCTCCTCCTCCGCTCCTCCCCTCCTCCTGCTCCTCTCCTCCCCTCCCCTCCTCCCCCTCCTCTCCTCCTGCTCCTCCACCTCCTTCCTCCTCCCCTCCTCTCCTCCTCCTCCTCCTCCTCCTCTCCTCCTCCTCCCCTTCCTCCCTCCTCCTCCTCCTCCTCCTCCTCCTCCTCCTCCTCCTCCTCCTCCTCCTCCTCTGACCGTGCTGCTGCTGCTGCTGCCGCTGCTGCTCCTCCACTTCTCCTGCTGCCGCTCCTGCTCTCATCTGCTCGCCCTCCGGCCTCCCAGGCCACTCTCGGGGTGCTCCCGCCTAGAGGCGGGGGAGGCGTCGGCTGTATAGCGACGGCGGCCTTCGGTATCGAGACGGGTCCGGTGGATGCGCTTGGGTCTTATATTGTGTGCAACGCCACGGTGAATCATGGACCTATGCTATGTTAGGGCATGCCGGTTTCCAGGTGAGCGGCGCAACATCGGCATTTGTAGCAGAAATTTTAGCCTTAGACGCTGCATTGGCAACCCTCTCACTCATACTTTGATTGTTTTCCGGGCAGGTGTGTGTAATCTGACGGGCGTGCCATGGCGCAAAGCCTTGCGGAAGAAGAATGGGAGGAACAGGAGCAGGGAGACAGGAAATGAGTCATGGGGTCTGTTTTCACAGTCGGCCCTGATTGATAGATCGACTATCACAGATCGAGGGTCCCCGTGTGTCCTGTCTACCCCGACCTGTGCAGGCCCATGTCCTTTGGTGTGCTGGGGCCACGGTCGCTGCCGTCGGAAGAGTCCTGTCCAGTCAAGTCCGACTGTCCCCCCTGCATGCGATAACCTGCGTGACCCGGGGGGGCGAGGGGGGAACGGGCCAGTCACGTCGCCATTCGCGTCGGCACCGTCTGGGAATGCCTACGCATGGCTGATTTCCCAGTCTCAGATGGCGCCGGCGCGAATCGTGACGTGACCAGGGGGGGAGGGGGGAGGGGCGGGGCCGCTGACGGGTGGTATCGCGAATCGTAGAAAACACTAGCGGGTGTCACCGGCGCCGGCGCGAATCGTGACGTAAGCAGGAGGGGGGGAAGGGAGGAGGGGAGGGGCCGCTCGCGGGTGTTATCGCGAATGACATGTAAAACCATAGGTGCACGAGGAGGTGCAGGAGGAGCACGAGCAGGCGGAGCTGCAGGAACAGGAAGGGGTAAGGCGGGGGATGGATTCGCAGCTTGGGAAGGCATGTGGCTCAGATTGGGTTTTGCCAGGAGTTCAGGCCTTGAGACTTACGTAGTCAAGCCAGTGGCCTTCGTAACAGGAGGCGGAAGGACTGATAGGACGAGCATCCCACCAGTTTGGCGATACGCGTCAACGATCGCACTCCGATCCGATCGCCCAGTGTTGTGGGGAACCGCAGTGAGTTGGAGAGGGGCTCGCCCTCCATACGCCCCGCGCGGGGTGGCGGAGACTTCGATTATAAAAGGGTGCACCAAACATTGTCTGCCGTGAAAAAGAAACGCTCAGCTCGCACAGAGCGCCGCAGCGGGAGCAAGCTCTTGAAGACGTACCTGCGCTTGTCCTTCAGCGCGCAGGCGGCCTCCACCACCCGAGCGGCGCCGCCCGGCACGCGCGCGCTAGGCGGGCCCCCTCCTCCTCCTCCTCCTCCTCCTCCTCCTCCTCCTCCTCCTCCTCCTGCTGCTCGCCACCGCCACTGCAGGAAAATGAGCTGCCTTCCAACCGTTTGGCTGTTTGGATTCTCAAGCGTCGTGGTTGCAAGAGTCTTAGGGGAAGGCCGGGGGACGTCCGAGCCTTCTGCAACGACCTCGTTCCCGCTTCCCCCCATCGCTCGCCGCCGAAATGAACCAACGCCGGGGTCGACACCACATGAACATGCCGCACCCACATCAGTGCTCTGACAAATCTGCGGAGGCTGCGGGTTGTTTACGCTTAAACTCAGAACACTTGCGGCGGGCCTCTCGACGCGTGCTTTCGGGCCTCGCAAAGTGCCGACGACCACCCCTTTTTCTCCTTGTCTCTCGCTTCCATCCGCAACTGCGTGGGGTTGGTATAACGGTATAACGCGACGAAGTATCCAGCCAGAGCCAGGTTTTGGAAACCGACCGTTCCCCATGAATACATATCGTGGGGATTGCCAAATTCCAGGTGCGTGGGCGATGCGGCGTGAGGCCGTCTCGCGCGAAACTTAATTAGGTTTCAAAGCGACTCGCCTCCCCGTCTGCGTTGCACTTGGACACTTCGAGTTCCAGGATTTAACATGCGAGGAAACGTCATGCAAAACGCCCACAGGAGCTCTCTGGCCCATTGTTTTGCTGAGTGTCCCGCCTTCTGCGGGGGGATGTACGTGGCGATGCAAACCTGCCCGCGGACGATGTTGTCGTGAATCAGGGGCCTGGCCAGCCCTTTTAGACGGCGCCGTCTCGCCAAGCAGGCGCTGAAGCACCCCTCGGCGAACACGCGATCGCGCGCCGTGCAGGCCTGGAACATACGTTGTTGTTGCGCGCGCTGGGCGTAGCGGGGCCAGGACCGCCCCCACGC